AACAAACTGATCCAGATCCTCCTGAACAAACTGATCCAGATCTTCCTGAACAAACTGATCCAGATCTTCCTGAACAAATTGATCCAGATTCTTTTGGATAAACTGATCCAGATCTTCCTGAACAAACTGATCCAGATTCTTTTGGATAAACTGATCCAGATCTTCCTGAACAAACTGATCCAGATCTTCCTGAACAAATTGATCCAGATCTTCCTGAACAAACTGATCCAGATCTTCCTGAACAAACTGATCCAGATTCTCCTGGACAAACTGATCCAGATCTTCCTAAACAAACTGATCCAGATCCTCCTGAACAAACTGATCCAGATCTTCCTGAACAAACTGATCCAGATCTTCCTGAACAAACTGATCCAGATCTTCCTGAACAAACTGATCCAGATTCTCCTGGACAAACTGATCCAGATCTTCCTAAACAAACTGATCCAGATCCTCCTGAACAATCTGATCCAGATCTTCCTGAACAAACTGATCCAGATCTTCCTGAACAAACTGATCCAGATCTTCCTGGACAAACTGATCCAGATTCTCCTGGACAAACTGATCCAGATCTTCCTAAACAAACTGATCCAGATCCTCTTGGACAAACTGATCCAGATCCTCCTGAACAAACCGATCTAGATTCTCTTGGACAAACTGATCCAGATCCTCCTGGACAAACTGATCCAGATCAGTCCTTCAGACTGCTTTTTGTTGTTCGGTTTGGTTTTTTCCTGAACATTTTCAGAGAAATGATTTCATCTCTGAATGAAACATCTGATTTTATTTCTTCAGTTCAAGAAAAAACAGATATTTGACAGAAAACCGGATTTTAGCTTCAACAAGGAGACCCACCTGGACCTTCAGAGTCTGCAGGAATCAGGACAAGAAAGGTTTAGTCAGAAAAAACACAACAGCTCAACCGAGGTCCACCTTCAGCTGATGCTCTCCTTCAGCTGATGCTCTCCTTCAGCTGATGCTCTGAGCATGAGATATGGATCGGCTCCACAGAGTCCAGTGAGAATCTGTGGGATGTGCTGAAGGTCAGACTCACCATCATCAGTGCAACATGTTGGTGAAACATTAACGCACTGGATGAAATAAATCTGACGTTGTAGACGTTCATCAAACAATGCTTCAGAGAATGTGAGCTGTTAGCAAAACTAAAGGTCCAACAGAATAACTTTATTTAACAAGGCAGAGTTAAAAAATTAACCCAACATCCTAAAAGCTAAAGTTACAGAAAAATTAAAACCAAGATTTGTTTCAATAAATAAAAAAATCAACAAATTAAAACAAATTACAAAAACTAAACAGCATCTCCTGAAGCAGCTGAAGGTTGAACAGCTGAAGCAGCTGAAATGATGCTGAAAACACTGGAGGAAACTCTAACCCTGAAAACAGCTGACTCAGCGTTAACACAGTAAAAGAAAACTTAAAGAACAAAGGAAAAAGATCCTAAACGCTGGAAGACGTTTGGACCTGGAGGCAGGTTCTGACCCGCTCAGACAAACTGCAGCTGAAGAGCAGAAACTTTCCTCACAGACTTTATCTGCAGCTGAAAAACAGAAGATTTTGATCAGAATTATAAAATAAAAATGTTTTCAATTATATAAAATAAAAATATAATAATTGCATCAAACCAGCTGTAGCAGATGAAGTAAACATTTCTGAGCACAAATTCTTTTTTATTCATAATGTAGTTTTTTTTTCTGCTTTCATCCATGAAATGATTAAAATAATAAAAGATTCATGTGGAACTCATTCAGACCAACAGGAAAAACGTTTCTTCTGATCTGAAAAACCACCTGATCTGATGTGAGTTTATTCAGCTGATCGTAAATGTTTAAAAATTAATAAAATAAGTTTAAGTTTCAGCCTCAGGACACGAGCTTCTGCCCACATCTCCAGCTCTGAAGCAGCTTTAAAAAAAAAAGAGAGAGAAAACTCTGCAGGAAAGACTTAACAGATAACATCAAATCAGTATTAAGCTACAGCCACTGTTAGCTGTGGATAAAATATTCAGAATCAGCCTCTTCAAATCCCAACCAGCCTGTTCAGAAACAGGGTCAGCCTGCAGAAAAAAAGAGCACATGATGGGCAGATAAAGGCTTGTCTGTGTCTGAGGGAGAGGAGGAGGAGGAGGAGGAGGAGATGAAGGGGCCTCTGTTGAAGCAGAGTTGTGTCTCTATAGAGGCTCCATGGTGGACAGAAACAAGGCTTTTAGTCTCTGAGGCTGAGGACATAATGGGCTCCTATAATGATGCCACTATGGACAGGCAGGAGAAAAAAAGGGCAAAATGTCCCTTTAAAGCCAGGACTTTATGTGAGACATGTCTGCGGTCAGATGATGGGACGATGAGGTTTTATTTCCTGTAAAACATTCGGCTGCTTCAGGTTTTTTCAGCTCTTTATTTAGTTAAAACGTATAACCAGTGGTTGCTACATCCTTGTAGCAGGAGGCTATCTATTCGTAAACCAGCTATTGATCTGATTAATGACTAGCATGGATAAGATAGCGTTAGCATCAGAGAGGCTAGTGACTAGCATGGATAAACTGGAATTAGCATGTGAGAGGCTAGCGGTTAGTATTAATAAGCTGGCGTTAGCATTGCAGAGACTAGCGACTAGCATGGATAAACTGGCATTAGCATGTGAGAGGCTAGCGGTTAGTATTAATAAGCTGGCGTTAGCATTGCAGAGACTAGCGACTAGCATGGATAAACTGGCATTAGCATTGGAGAGGTGGAGTCTTGTTGATGGGAGGAGGAGTCTTTTGATGGGAGGTAAAATTTTGTTGATTGGAGGTGGAGTCTTGTTGATGGGAGGAGGAGTCTTTTGATGGGAGGTAAAGTCTTGTTGATTGGAGGTGGAGTCTTGTTGATGGGAGGAGGAGTCTTGTTGATAGGAGGAGGAGTCTTTTGATGGGAGGTAAAGTCTTGTTGATTGGAGGTGGAGTCTTGTTGATTGGAGGTGGAGTCTTGTTGATGGGAGGAGGAGTCTTGTTGATGGGAGGAGGAGTCTTGTTGATGGGAGGAGGAGTCTTTGATGGGAGGTAAAGTCTTGTTGATTGGAGGTGGAGTCTTGTTGATGGGAGGTGGAGTCTTGTTGATTGGAGTTGGAGTCTTGTTGATTGGAGGAGGAGTCTTGTTGATGGGAGGAGGAGTCTGATGGGAGGTGGAATCTTTTTGATGGGAGGTGGAATCTTTTTGATGGGAGGTGGAATCTTTTTGATGGCAGGTTGAGTCTTGTTGCTAGGAGGTGGAGTCTTGTTGGTTGGAGATGGAGTCTTGTTGGTTGGAGGTGGAGTCTTGTTGATGGGAGGAGGAGTCTTATTGGTTGGAGGTGGAGTCTTGTTGATGGGAGGAGGAGTCTTATTGGTTGGAGGTGGAGTCTTGTTGATGGGAGGAGGAGTCTTATTGGTTGGAGGTA